AAACTAAATATTAAATATAAAGAGCCGTAAAAGTATATTAAAATTTTCTCTCTCTAAATTTTTAAATATTTTTTAAATTATAGAATATACACTTAAAAAAAAAGTCTATTGATGCAACTACCTTACCCTGAATACCGTCCCAATGCAACCTTGCCTAGATATTGTCTTCACGAAATTAACATCTCAAAATTATTGAACTTGACATGATAAGATAAGATAAAATAAAATGAATCCAACATTTTTTGGCCCATTGCTGTCAGGACAAAGTAATATGGGAAAATTACACATGATCCTACCTTTAAACTTTCAAATTCAAATATAAGATATAAAATTATTTTTTTCAAAAATCAGGTGAAAAATTAAATTTATAATAATTATAAAATTAAATTAGTTATATACCTAACCCATCTATCTACCCACCACAAATTCAAACCCTAATCCCTATCTTCTTCCTATCCCTCTCTCCCACCCACCTATCTACCCTCTCTCTCATCATCAACGAAGAACCACCGCGCCTCCAAGAGAGCTCTGTCGGTAAAAGAGCACTGCAGTGCTCACGGCCCTGTCCCCGTGAGCAGCGTCGCCTGTAGGCAGGAGGATCGACGTCGATTAGGAGACCGATCGACGCCACTGCAAAAGGAGCACCGTCGTACGACCTCTGCCCAGGAGCATCGTTGCTGCTGCGAAGATCTCTGCCCAGGATCGAAAAATACCACCGAAAGAAGAGATGACGTTGTTGGAATATGTCGTGCGGCTACATTGTGACGCTGCTGCGCACTGTACCGGAAGAAGAGAACGTCATCGGAATACATTGCTGCGGCACACTCTACGCAGTTGATTGGATCTAGTCTTAGGTGTGCGGGATGATGTCGTCGTGGCTACAATCGATGGGATATGGCTAGGTGGTGGTGATGTGTGGTTGTAGTGGCGAGGTGGGTTGGTGGTGTTGGTAGTGGTGGCGGTAGCGGGTGGAGTGTGGGACGAGTGTTTGTGATCAATTATTTGGGTGTTGTGATGCGTTGTTTGTGCTGGTAGTCGTTGTGACCAATTATATGCGTTGTTTCGTTGGTGTCGTCGCGATGGTTGTGATATAGTGGTGGTTTTTGGTGGCGATGGTGTTGGCAACGTTGCGATTGTGCGTGGTTAATGATGAATGACAATGGTATTGCGTGGTTGTGGTCGTCGTGGTGACATTTTCAGATCGGTCAGTGGTTGCTGCGGGGCGCTACTGATGTGATGGTGAGGTGGTAATCCACGATTTCTTCACATTGATTGATTTTTAGGGAAAATGGTGAAGATTGATTTTAGTGGCATCGCGGCATCAACCGCGCTTTGTGCAATGAGATTTCGATCAAATATGTGTATATTGTGACTGTTTGTGACTGATTGTGACTATTTGTGACCACTTGTGACTGGCTAATTGTGACTCGCTGTGACCGATTGTCACTTGAAATTCTGGAAATTCTTTGGAAGTTGGGATGACTGGTTGTGACCGTTTGTGACTGTTTGTGACCAATTGTGACTCGTTGTGATCAATTGTGACTGATTATGACTTGAAATTTTGGAAATTTTTTGGAAGTCGGGTGTGGGTGGATGGAGTGTGATTTTCAATTTTTAAATTTCTGAAAATTTTTAAGTCGTCGGAGCGGCCGCCGAAGTGATCGTCGGAGCCGNTTGTATGCCACCACATTTTGTCTATGTTCGATTGAAGTTGGTCTTCCTGATTTTCTTGATGGTGTTGGTCGTAAATTTGAGTTGAAGGTGGTGGTGGTGGTGTATTGGAGGTGATGGTGGTAATGACTGGTGGTGGATTGTGGTGCTTGTTCGTGGTGTAAGCGGATTTGTTTATGGTGACCATTTGTGACCAAATATGTGTTTATTGTGATTGATTATGACCAATTTTGTGTTAATTGTGACTGGTTGTGACCAATTCCATGTTAATTGTGTTAAGTTTAACTTGGTCACAGATAGTCACAATGAATACAAATTTGGTCACAATTAGTCATAGATGACACGTCAGTGATTTAATATTTTTAATTTTTGAAATTTTTTTGCAAGGTAATAGTGGGGTAGGTGGATCCATGGATTGGGGTGGTGTGATTTCCAGATTTTCATTTCTGGAAATTTTTTGGAAGGTAAGGTGGGGTGGGATAATTAATTATATATTATATATATTTAATTGAAATTAACACCTGAATTTTAAAATAATTTAACAAGTTTGTTAATTTTGAAATGTGTTGACACCGACCTCCGAGGTCGTTAAGCTCGAAAAGATTAAATACCATTAGCAGAACACATGATTGAGCTCGGCAACGAATTGAGTTCGATAAAATATTGAGGTCAGAATCAATCCATGCCATCAGCAGATAACGTATCAAGCTCGGCTGGGACGAGGTCAGCTCGAGACGAATGTCTTCTGGGAGAAGTTTGTGTAGTCTTTCGAGGCAAAAGATATTGTAACGATAAGAAATCTCTGATGGGATATATAAGCAGCCAATCACGAAAGAACCCCTGGAAAGGTCTTACGTCAGCCTCCTTTAATCCTTCAATCAGATGTGTTAGCTGCCTCTCCTAAGTAATGAATTAATGATCGGGGAGGAGGGGGGGATGGGGGGCACTTGCCATTAATGTTCTGAGGAACTCTGACAAAGTCTAGTTCGACGACCACTCCTATTGCGCCAACCATTGTACTTCTTCAGCTTGGGATTGCAGTGAAAATACAGGAAGAGTATCATGCATGCATATTTCCTCTATAAATAGGGATCTAAAGTCCCAATTGAAGAAAAAAACGATAAAACATAAGGAAAAGCTTGTATACACTCTTAGCATATATTTCATATCATAAAATCCTCCCTATCATAATAGGAAAGAAAGGTTATTACATCCGATTTCTGTAAACACTTGAATGTTTCAATGAGAATTTTACGCATCTCTCCTTTTTAGTTGGCTTGAATCTTGTCCATACAAATTTCAACGTCAACAGAATTTGATTTTTATATATAGGATTTATATATTGTTCCCAAGTAATAAACTGTGGAAACCCATTAAAAAAATGAGAAAAATGTTGAACCAATAAAAACGATAAACGTGACCAACTATGAAAACATTTATGGGTAATTCACCTTCTAGGTTTAAACAGATTATTTAGTTGACGTTAGTATGATATTAAATGATAAATAGAATTAAAATAAATTGATCATTTAATTCTATATTTCATTTAGCATATCACATAAATTGGAGTTATAACGCTATTGAAGTTAAATAATATTATTCTTACACCTTTTGCTTTACTTCAATTCAACATCAAACCTATATTTTTTGTTGCAATTTGGCAAATTCATTCTCTAATAATTACGAAAACTAATAAAATTTGTAACTTGGCAACACATTCGTGACACGACATGTGAATTAAGATGATTCATGACTTGATATGTGAATTAAGATTTGTCGGACAATCATAAAACCCGCTAGCTAGCTCAGCACATGAGTCTTAGGCTTGCTTCTAAAAGCTTGAATGTTACTTGTCGTTGGCGGATGATGTAACGACATGCATAATGCAAGCTACAACCCGCAATTAAAAATAAAAAATAAAAGAAGAAGAAGAATGGAAAAAATAGAATTTTCATTAGAAAATGGAAAAGTTCAAGGTGGCTCAACCGATTATCATACCTAATTGACCTCTTCATTCTAAACTGGCATCTTCTTTTCTTCTTACAAGGTGCTTTTCCTTTTATTTTTTTAATTTTTACGAAATTGGTTCTTGCTTCGTCTCACTAATCCAACTCAGTGATTACGTGTTACTACCCTCCAAGAAATTGAATAACTTGGAGAAAGTATTCATTTTGCGTTGCAAATAAAGTAGGATTTATGTATTGTTCCCAAGTAATAAACTGTAGAAACCCATTAAAAAAATGAGAAAAATGTTGAACCAATAAAAATGATAAACGTGACCGACTATGAAAACATTTATGGGTAATTCACCTTCTAGGTTTCAACAGATTATTTAGTTACGTTAATATGATATTAAATGATAAATAAAATTAAAATAAATTGATCATTTAATTCTATATTTCATTTAGCATATCACATAAATTGGAGTTATAACACTATTGAAGTTAAATAATATTATTCTTACACCTTTTGCTTTACTTCAATTCAACATCAAACCTATATTTTTTTGTTGCAATTTGGCAAATTCATTCTCTAATAATTACGAAAACTAATAAAATTTGTAACTTGGCAACACATTCGTGACACGACATGTGAATTAAGATGATTCATGACTCGATATGTGAATTAAGATTTGTCTGACAATCATAAAACCCGCTAGCTAGCTCAGCACATGAGTCTTAGGCTTGCTTCTAAAAGCTTGAATGTTGCTTGTCGTTGGCGGATGATGTAACAACATGCATAATGCAAGCTACAACCCGTAATTAAAAATAAAAAATAAAAGAAGAAGAAGAATGGAAAAAATATAATTTTCATTAGAAAAAGGAAAAGTTCAAGGTAGCTCAACCGATTATCATACCTAATTGACCTCTTCATTCTAAACTGGCATCTTCTTTTCTTCTTACAAGGTGCTTTTCCTTTTATTTTTTATTTATTTTTTTAATTTTTACGAAATTGGTTCTTGCTTCGTCTCACTAATCCAACTCAGTGATTACGTGTTACTACCCTCCAAGAAATTGAATAACTTGGAGAAAGTATTCATTTTGCGTTGCAAATAACAATATATAGTGTAGAATAAACCAGGTGATCAAATTGAACAAAAATATAAGTTTTATGGTCAAATTGAAACAAATTGAAGTAGAGTGACCACTATTGCCATTTCCACATAACCACCAGCCAATAAAAATTAGAAACGTGGCCCAATAAAGACACAGCACTCCAATTTCTTCGCCTATTAATTACAGTATCCTTATCTATATATATATGGGAAAGAAAACGCACACATTCGTCTCCTCCTCCACTCCACTCTCTTAGGAAGCAGAAAACAAAAAATGAAGTCTTTTTCTTCTTCCTTCTGCTTCCTCTCTACATTAATGGCGTTTATCTCTCTCTTCATCCTCTCTCTAATTCTCCTCCCATCTGCACTCTCAACGGACGGCCGAGAAACCTTCATCATCCACGTGGCAAAGTCTGCCAAGCCCCATATTTTCTCCACCCACCACCATTGGTACTCCTCCATCGTCCGATCTGTTGACACCCCTCATCACCCTTCCAAGATTCTTTACACCTACAACCGCGCCGTGCAGGGATTCTCGGCTCGGCTTACCGTTGACCAAGCCGCCAAGATCCGCCATGTACGTGGGGTTCTCTCTGTAATACCTGACAGGCCAAGGTATTTACATACTACTCGTACTCCACGCTTTCTTGGCCTAGAGGATTCTTTTGGGCTCTGGCCCAATTCTGATTATGCTGATGATGTGATTGTTGGTGTGCTTGATACTGGGATTTGGCCGGAACGGCAGAGTTTTTCCGATGAAGGGCTTTCGCCGGTTCCGGGAAAATGGAAAGGTAGTTGTGTGGTTACCCCGGATTTCCCAGCAACAGCTTGTAACAAGAAAATTATTGGAGCCCGAGCTTTTTATTTAGGCTACGCAGCTTCTCGTGGTACAACGATGGAAGAGTCTAATGAGTCGAAGTCTCCAAGGGATACAGAAGGCCACGGAACTCACACTGCATCCACAGCAGCTGGATCTAGAGTGACGAACGCTAGCCTTTTCGGGTATGCGAAAGGGGAAGCTAGAGGAATGGCTATCAAGGCTAGAATAGCTGTGTATAAAATTTGCTGGGCATCTGGGTGTTACGATTCGGATATTTTAGCAGCAATGGATCAAGCTATTGAAGATGGCGTTGATGTGATTTCGCTTTCAGTTGGTGCTGATGGTTATGCACCGCCTTATGATTATGATTCGATTGCGATTGGAGCTTTCGGTGCAGCCGAACATGGTATTGTCGTTTCATGCTCTGCCGGGAATTCCGGCCCTGATCCGTATACAGCGGTGAATATTGCTCCGTGGATTTTGACAGTCGGTGCTTCCACTCTTGACCGGGAGTTTCCGGCTGACGTGATTCTCGGTGATGGGAGGATTTATAGTGGCGTTTCTTTGTACTCTGGCGAGGAGCTAAGCGATGAGTTGCTGCCCTTGGTTTATGCTGCGGATTGTGGGAGTAAATATTGCTATTCAGGTAGCCTCGATTCTGCAAAAGTCGCCGGAAAAATCGTGATATGCGATCGAGGAGGCAACGCTAGAGTTGAGAAAGGAAACGCTGTCCACGTCGCTGGTGGTGCTGGAATGATAATGGCCAATTTAGCTGATTCTGGTGAAGAACTTCTGGCTGACTCGCATTTCATCCCGGCGACTATGGTGGGACAAATCGCGGGTGACAAAATCCGAGCTTATGCACGCTCTGATCCATTGCCAACTGCCACTATTAAGTTCAGGGGGACTGTTATCAGCCGCTCACCGGCTGCACCTCGTGTTGCTTCATTCTCGAGCCGTGGCCCTAATTACCGGACGGCGGAGATCCTGAAACCTGATGTAATTGCACCGGGAGTGAACATTCTTGCTGGATGGACGGGGTACATTGGCCCGACAGATTTGGAGACGGACAAAAGGAAAGTTGACTTCAATATCATTTCCGGCACCTCAATGTCGTGTCCTCACGTCAGTGGCTTAGCCGCCCTGCTGCGGAAGGCCCATCCCAAGTGGTCGCCGGCTGCAATCAAATCTGCTTTAATGACGACAGCTTACAACTTGGATAACTGCGGGAGCAATATTACCGACCTTGCAACTGGAAAAGAGTCGACCCCATTTGTTCATGGTTCGGGACACGTGGATCCTAACCGAGCATTGGATCCCGGGTTGGTTTATGACTTGGGTTTGAGTGATTATCTTGGATTCTTGTGCTCTATTGGGTATGATTCAAGAAGGATTTCTGTTTTCACAACTGCTTCGGTGGATTGTGATGCAAATAGTTTGGGAGCTCCTGGAAACCTGAATTACCCTTCATTTTCAGTGGTTTTCCATGGTGAAAACAGTGTGGTTAAGTACAAGAGAGTGGTTAAGAATGTAGGGAAAAAGTCGAATCCTGTGTACGAGGTGAAGGTGAATGCCCCACCGAATGTGGAGGTGAGCGTTTCGCCTAGTAAGTTGGTGTTCAGCGAGGAGACCGATTCACTAGCGTATGAGGTTACATTTATGAGTGGTGTTGGAGTGGAGGAAGTTGGCAGCTGTCCAAAGGCATCATTTGGATCAATTGAGTGGACCGATGGCGTCCACCTTGTCAGGAGCCCGATTGCAGCATCATGGAATCTGAGTTCCACAGCATCGATGTGATCTTGGTGGTGAAATTTTCACTTTCATTCTCTTTCATCAATTCTGTTGTAAAATAAGGTTAGAATGAGCAGGGCATCAAGAATGCGTATCTTGATTGAACTGATAATCCTCTGCAGGTTTACAAGATTTCTTCTGCCCAAGTTTGATGGCCAAATGAAGAGCAAAATGGAAAAAGCCCTTGCAAGCAATAATAAACTTCTGAATTGCAATGTTTTTACTTATTTGACTGCTTTGTGTACATATTTGGAATGCTAAATGCACTTCACAATTGGTGTATTTTACATGCCAAGAGGACTTGGAGATGTGAAATTTTGATCCTTTTCCAGCAATGAATGTTCGCCTATACTGTTGCAAACTGCCACGAGTAAAATCTTGTGCTTACACGTAAGCCAATTCAAGATTTCAACATCTCAAGTTGCTTCATTTTCTTGGAGCTTTTAATTTAGAATCAAATGGACTTTTTGACAGTTAAGGGCGTGTGCCTGCTAGGAATATGGCAATCTTATGTCTCGATTCTTGTGGATGTTGGCAGTTCAAGTGTCTAAACTAAAAGTGGAGTGACTGATTTCAAACAAAGTGAAAATTTTGCTAGTTGGGTAGACCAACCTGTGAAGGTTTTGGTAAATACAGTAAATCAACAAAAGAAGGAAAAACAATTTTCAATTTAGTTGACTTTTCTGGTGATGATTGTCACTAATTGGTAAACAACTTGAGTTATTTAACAAACAATGTTCCAATGAAGTAGGATTAGTAGAAATCCATCTCTGGCTTTATTTTAGTTAATGTCAGCCAACAAAGGATAGAAAGAAACTCTTCCATCCACAGAGTTGCCTGTGCCCGTAACTATCTGTCAAAAAACATAATTCCAAGCAACTCAGAATGGAGTCTGATATTGGGGTTTTTGTTTACCTGAGGCCTAACTAGACCGAGGATTGTCCTTGTGCCGCCTACTTGGAGAGTCCCCCAAGGCCTCATTCCTCGAGGACTTCACTTGACTCTTTTTTGGGATTTAAGGTCCCTGTCCTCGAGGAGTCTAGGCCCACCAATATCGAGGACTCCTGCCCAGATTTATCTCGAGGACTCCAATTTATCGATCCCCGCTTTTGGTAAGGTTGGTCCTCGAGCACATCCCAGTAATCCTCGGGTATTATACCCCGGGGACTTAGCAGGCGTAACCTCATATATTTCACTACTAAATCCTCGAGGAATATGCTGCTCCTCGGGGTCATGGTGTGGACCATGCTACTGCTTGGGGCCATGCCCTGTCATATGTTTCCTTGTTAAACCACAGGGTGGGGTCCTGCCCCCATAAGAGCCCTGGCTTCGTCCTAAATTCACCAGCCGGACTCATATACCAGGAAGAACTCTATCTTTGATAGGACTCTTGAAGATAACAACGCTTCAACAATTTCAGTCATATCAGGGTGGGGTCCTGCCCCCATAGGAGCCCTGGCCTCGTCCTAAATTCACCAGCCGGACTCCTATACCAGGAAGAACTCTATCTTTGATAGGACTTTTGAAGATAACAACGCTTCAACAATTTCAGTCATATCAGGGATGAACTACACAGTCCTACTAGGACTCTACCACCTAGCTCTATAAATACGGGCTCCCAGTTCAATATTCAGGTATTTTTTTACATTGTTTTACAGCATACAGCATTACGCTAAAATTTCCTTATCTGACTTAAGCATCGGAGGGGCGATGAGGGCATACCTCACCGCCTTTGTTTCAGGTATTGGGAGATCACGTTCGTGCTCATCGACAATCGTCAAGATCGGAAACAGCCAGGTACGATTTTTGGTAGCATCAGAGTGCATAGCTGCTGAAATGCACAGACACAGCTGAATAAAAGCATTACCTAGAGATCAAAGCCACCGGCTGATGCAGTGAAAATGTAAGGCGTGACTATGGACACCTAAACTACGATAATCCAAAAGCAAAACGAAAATAAAGGCGTGAATGACCAAAAATAAGGGTATATGAGACATTCCAGAACTCTCATAAGACCTATTTATCTATCAAACATTCAGACTCAAATAAGCCAACTCCTCTTTACATGGCTGGCTGCCTGCATATATATAGAAATAGAAATCCAGCAGGACAGGTTTTTGTGAAATAAACTTCAACCTGCTTTTAACTCGTAACATTATCCATTTCTCTTAATAACAACGATAATTGTGTTATAATTGTTCAAAACATAGTTTGGAACTTGGGCCAAAATTGTGGATGGAATTATTGAATACACATTTTGGGATGATACTTCGCCCATGCGATTGCAAGAGCAAAATAGTCATGCGTGCACATGGCTTGGACATGCTCAAATTGAGACTTTATGCCTCAAGCCATGCGATCACATGGTTGATGCCCATGCAATCGCATGGTTCTGAAAACTAGCCATTAAGGATAATTTTCAGGTTTGTTTCTCATGCCTTTTGGTGAATAGATTTAAACTTTTGACGAATTATTGGAACCATTTTGTGTTGTATGAACGACAACCTATAATAGAAGATTAATTTTCATTTCTAATACAACCAACAACAAGATATCCATATTGCGCTATTCCAAATCATAAAAAATTATATTCAAACTATTTCAAGTTTTCGTTAAGTTCACTTTGAAGAATACTTGTACTTTGGTGTTCTTCACTATAGGTTTGATACAATCCTACAAACTATTTGCTGACAATTCTTAAAAGCATTTGGAGAAGAAGCAAATATCGTTTAAGGATAGTGTTCTGAAACATGTTCAAGTCTTGCAATCATTTTCACTTGGTGTTTCCATTTTAATCTTCTCCTATTCTTCATTGTTTTCCAAAAAACTCAAATTATATCCAACTGCGATGGAGACGGAAACTACAGTAGCAATCATCAAGTTGATGAACCAATACTTGGTTCGATTGGATAGGTTCGATGAAACCAACTTTATTCGGTGGCAAGAAAAAATCAAATTCCTTTTGACGGCATTGAAGATATTCTATGTGCTTGATCCTAGTTTGGTGCCAATTTATGAACCATCTGATGAAGATTTTGAAGAAGCATGAGCCGAAAGAAAGAAAAGACAAGAGGATGAATTGATTTCTCGCGATCACATTCTTAATGCCTTTTCCGGTCATTTATATGATCTTTGGGCCAACAACACTTCAACGAAGGAAATTTGGGAAGCATTTAAAAATAAATACGAAGCTAGGGAGGGAGATACCAAGAAGTTCTTAAGCACTTTGATTTTAAGATACTTGAACTTCAAGTTATTGTAAATAAGTTGAAGGCTGTGAAAATCGAACTTCCCGAGTCCTTTCAAATATGAGCGATTATTACGAAATTGCCTCCAACTTGAGAGGGTTATAGGAAGAAAATTATTCATAACTTCGAGGATTTCTCTTTAGAACACATTCAAAAAAATCTGTGGATCAAGAAAGAGGCATGAGATAAGAATGAAAGTTCTTATGATGGCTCCTCTAAAGCCAATTACATGGATAATATTGATCACTCCAATAAATACCAACAGAAATGGAAACATTTTGCTCCTAAAAAGGATCAAGGGAAGTTTAAAAAGAAGTCCAAAAGACCTTGGTACATTTGTGGAAAATCGAGACACTGTGGTAGAGATTGCAAGCATAAAAAACAAACAAAGGAGAAAAATGTGAACTATGTTAAAGCAATTATTGCTACAGTGAGCAAATCAAAGCAATCCAAAGCAAAGTTCTGGGTTGGTGGTTCACATCTGCACAACAATCTATGTTTGTTATGATAAGTTACTTTTCAAAACTTATCACGACATTGTCGATGGCCAAAAGATTCAAATGGAAAATGAAGGACGCTCTAAAATGATTGGCAAATGAAACATCGATATCATCGTCACTTCGAGAAAGAAGATAACTTTGACCAATATTCTTCGTGTACCATACATGAATAGAAATTTAGCAAGTGTAGTTCTTCTGGAAAAATCGAGAATAAAATTTGCATCTGAATTGAGTAAACTTGTATTAATCCGAAATGGGTATTTTGTTGGTAAAGGCTATTCGAGTGAAGCAATGATCAAACTATGCACTATTGATGATGGTTCTAATAAAATTAAATCTTTTGCTTATATGATTGACTCCTTTACTTTATGGCATGATAGATTAGTACACATAAGTCTTAGCAATACAAAAAAGAATGGTTAAAAGTGGATTAATTTCATGTAAACTTGATAATTTAGATAAATGTGAAATTTGTACTAAATCTAAGATGACTAAAAGCCACTTCATAGCATAGAAAGATCATCATAATTACTTGAACTTGTGCATTCTTATATTTGTGAATTAAATGACGTGCAAACAAGAGGAGTTAATGAATACTTTATTGAATTTATTGATGATTGCTCTAGGTATACTTATGTGTATCTATTAAAACATAAAGATGAAGGTTTTAATGCATTTAAAGTATATAAAGTAGAAGTTGAAAATCAATTAGGAAGGAAAATAAAGACTCTTAGAAGTGATAGATGTGGAGAATATTTTTCAATTGAATTCAACATATTTTGTGAATAAAACGACATTATACACTAATATTCTACACTACGTACACCTAAACAAAATGATTTAGCATTAAGAAAGAATAGAACATTCGTAGAAATGATTAATGCATATTGCTAAATGCTGAATTATAATTTAATTTATGGGGTGAAGCCTTACTTTGTGCATGTTATATAGTAAATATGATTCATTTGAAAAAGAATTAGGTTACTTCGTTTCAAATATGGAAAGGAAGGAAGTCTAACATATGTTATTTCAAACTATGGAGGTGTCTTATTTATTCCAAAAATACGGAACCTAAGAGAATCAAATTAAGTCTTAGGGATATTAAGAGCTTGTTTGTCTACCATTATTAGGTTGAAAATGGTGTAATGAATAGTATTTTTTGGAAAATGTGTGATTTAAATTTAAAATAACTTTATTGGTTTATGTGTAGAATATTTTATTGAGTGAATGTGTGGTGAAGAATTTTACTGTAGCAAAC